TTATTTCTCCCTACCCCCATGGAAGAGAAGGGCTTATACTTCATTTCTTTAGCTGATTGTACAGTTGCTCTTTGTTATAAAGCTCTTCTGCTCTGTGGATCTCGTACAGAAATTGTTTGTTTTGTCCTTTTAGGTCCTGTAAACTGTTTCTCCCTCATGACATGTTTTTGTGATAGTGCAGAGCACTTGCCAGCCCTGCCTGCTGATAGTCCATGACTGAGTCACTGAAGCATTTGCCTGCTTCTAGTTTCTAGAAGAACTTTTCAGATACTCTTCAAATTCAGATGCATGAGAAGAGCGGGAGGTTTTTCCCAGTGTATCAATTTTAGGTGGAAGAGATGGTGCTGGGTAAAATGTCAGTCTCCTGACCCTGGAGTCTTTGTTGTGGTTGCTTTGTTGTTCTCCTGACTGGTAGCTTTCCATAATGCCAAAGCTGTCCTGGTAACCCATATGGTTCTTTACCTCTCCTCAGGAAGATGACGTTTGGACGTGTCAGTGACCTGGGACAGTTCATCAGAGAATCTGAACCAGAGCCTGATGTCAAAAAATCAAAAGGTTTGCTTTCCTCTTTCTCTGCATTCCTGTGAACGTCTGCAGAGCTGCTCTCTTCCCTACTGCAGTCAAGAGAAGCAAGATTCTTGACTCTTTCCAGATCTGTTTTAAGCCAAATAGAGCTGTTTAGGGGATTGTCCTATACTGAAGCAAACCCTGTCTCTGGCCCAGTTTCCTATCCAAATTCTGCTTTTCTGGTCCAGCTGGACTCCGGGGAGTATGAGCAGCCTGTGGGTGTGGGAGCTGTCGATGGAACCTGGCAGGGATGGAAGCTGCTAGCAGCTGAGCTGATGATCAAACCTTCAGAGATTTGGTCTCGAGATGAAAAAGAACTGCAGCTCTTCACATGCTTCCCACCCAGGCTGGGACCTGCTGTTAGTGCTGCTTTCAGCCCTGGTAAAGGCGGATGGTTTGGGCTCAGTGTCAATGAACTGTGGCTTCCACACAGTCCCTTGTCTCTCATGCCACTCCTCTGTGCCCTCGAATGCCAGCAGTGCAACCCCTTCAGAGGGATGACAGGAATTAGCTTTGGGAGAGGTGTGTGCCACAGTTTGCTAACATACCTTGCTTGCTGTTTTTATCTCAACCAGGGTCCATGTTTTCACAAGCAATGAAGAAATGGGTTCAAGGAAACACAGATGAGGTGTGTCCTCTTTCATGTTGTCCTTGTGACTTACTTTCCAGTATATATAAGGGAGATAAAGTATTAAAGTCCTTAATCCTGGCTGTTTCTCTCAGTATCTTTTTTGCTGCACCAACAAGAACTGTGAGACTGTGTGCTAAATATAATCTGATTGCATGGATGTGTGAAACTAGTTTGATCTTTGCCAGTGCTTGCTGGTTTAACTAATATAATGGTTAAATGTGTGCTTGCAGTCCGGGTTTTTCTTACTGTGGTGTTATATAAAATCACAGAATGGTTAGGATTGGAAGGGACCTTAAAGATCAAGTAGGAGTGGAGGTGCTGTTGTTTGTTTTTTACCATGAAGTGACCACTGTACATGGATTACAGGCTGCATTTTTCTCCCCCTCAGAGGGGCTTGGACAAATCCCCAACAGCCAAATCTAAAAAATTTGCTAACTCTCTTGGAAACTGCATCGAGCCATAAATATAAAAATAAAAGCCAAGAGCATTTCCATTGAGGGAGGACACGTTTGTACAGGTCACTGAGTTGTGGAGATTAACCACGACTCCAAGTGCATTGTACTGAGGGCACTGTGTTTTTATTTCAAGAACCTGAAGCTATATCTGTATTTTGGGCTGTTTTTTTCCACGGCAGGCTCAAGAAGAGATGGCTTGGAGGATAGCAAAGATGATAGTCAACGACGTCATGCAGCAGGCGCAATGTGAACAGCCTTCGGAGAAGGTTACGAAGGTAAGGGGGTGGAAAGGCTGCCTGTCTTCATCTGGCTCAGGCCAGGCTGTGGGAGGAGCAGAGCTCTCACTTGCCTTCCTCGTGCCTCTGAAACCCACACTGGTAAATGTTCAAACTGGCATAGCATGATATGAAGAAACAAAGGTTGGAAGTGTTTCGGCCTACGGATGATGTAGGAATTTCTTAACAGATGCCTGTGGTGGTTCTCCTCTGCAGGCATTAAGCTGGTCTTAGTTTGAGTCTTATTAGTTAAAAGGGTGATTTGTGTTGCAGGATCAATACTGTAATTCCTCACTTGAGTTCACACTTGCTGTTTCTTGTTAATCAATACTTGTACATCTGCCTAAAGTGTCAGTAGAACTTGGGGAAGTTGTCTCGTTGGGTGCACTCATTTACACAGTTCTGTCCTTAGACTTTAAAAGGACACAGCAGCCCTGGCCATAGGCTGGGGGTTTAGTGTTGTGTGTTGGTGTTTGGTGACTGTGGTGGTGTTCAGCCCATGTGTTCTCTGTTTAGTTCTGATGCAGCAGTTGGATTTGGTGAAATGTTGGTGACAGCAGGTTACCAAGTTAATGTCTGGTACTTCTGACTGCCTAAAAATTAACTGGCATTATGTTTAGTTGTGGAAGGTAATTTAGTTATTAGACCCAAATAGGTGAATCCATAGTTCACTATGTGACTGCTTCCTTTCTGACAGACCAGTTATGTTTAAATAACTTGTATAATGATTTCATTTGATAGCTTGGCTGCAAGTGATACAATTCCAGTCTGGCTGGATGAAAAGGTCCCTCAGCAGAGTATTTAGAAATATCAAGTGGCTGCAGATGCTCTGGATTCAATTATGCAAATAATCAAAAGGTTGAGTGTGTTGGGATTAGATTTGGGGTTTTTTCTCTCTCAAACTCGAACATACCTGGCTTCAATGTTTTTAAACACAAAATATCTTTCTATTGAGCAATTGCCTTTGTATGTTTTATGGTAGAATGTTCTCTAACCCTGTTTTTCTTTTTCCAGCTATGATTTTAGAAACTCCAGAACAGGAAATCTGTTTTTCCACTTCGAGAATGAGTGAACTTTCCCTTTTGGTGGATTCTTTAACACAGCCAATAAAAACAAAGCACTGTTACTCCAACCGCCGAGATCTCCCTCATTTCTAAGGAAGAATGAAAGAGAAGCAATCCTGGACCTCCACTGTAGAGAGTGAAGAAACACTTTTTCCTGTTGTATGTGGCATTCACAGTAATGATGGTTTTTAGAGATGAAGATGCAGTTTACAAATGTGTCACTGAGAAACTGTGATCGACTTCACAAATACTTGACCCTGTCTCAAAAAGACTCTTAAGCAAAATGTCTGGAATGGGACACAGGCCACAGCAGAGGGGAAGGTTTTGCTGTAATTTCTAGTTCTACTACTTGTAATTTTTAAACACAATTGCAAAGGCCTCGGGGCACATCCCCTCCACTGGCCACTGGAGAGGTGAACCTGGAAGGGTGAATTCATGGGCAGTGAATGACCTAGAAAGTTCTTAAGTTTTATTTTTCCGTTACTTGAAATAGATGAGTATTCAACTGTAAGATAAATGTATTTTACTTTCATAACTACATTAACTTTGAGGGCAGGATAGAAGGATCAGGAGCGAAGCCTGGACAGTGTAACTCCTCCTTGCTGAGCTCGTGCCCCTGCACACACACATCCCCTCCTTCCACCACAGAGCACACTCGGATCCTGCACCTGGGCAGCTCCCAAGCCACGGCTCCGAGCAGGTTGGATCCTGGAAACTGCTCCATTTTCTGTCCTCTCCATCCCACGAGCGAGGAAAAAAAGTAATTGCTGCCATTCTCCACTGCTTGTTGTCCTCCAACCGGCACAGTATCTAATTCCAGATGTTTGGTTTACAAAGAAAAGCAATTTTTAATGACCTCTGGCCTTCTTCCTGACACTGTCAACACTTACCATGTTACACAGCACCTCTTTTTTTTTTTTTTTTTTCCAGTGAATTGATTTTTGCAGGGTATCAGAAGTACTCAGTGTCTCACCATTATGTTACTGCTGCATTTTTAGTATACAACACTTATTTTGGGTCTTTTTTTTTTTTTTTACTCTGATAATTGCTTTTTTCCTCAAACTTGTGCAAAGAAATCACTATGCGAAGAACTCAAATCATTTCCAATGTTCAGAATATCTTGATTGACTAGCAAGTGTTATTCTGTTGCAATATTCGATTGTATAGAGACACACTGTATTGTCTATGAAAAAGCAAAAAGAAAAAAAAGGCTGTGTATAGGTTTTTGGTACTATGTACCACCTCTTATTTCTCTCATACTCAAGCATTCATGTACTTAAAACATACTATATTTAATTGTGTTTTGATTTAAAATATATAAATATTAAAATTTGTGTCAATTTTCTGTTTTCCTGGGATTTGGAAGTTACGTGGGGTTTTTTTAGTGTGAGTTTTAGGGGTTTATAAAAGAAACAAATCCCTGAATGCTTTGTCCTTGGCAGTTTTGGCCACGTTTCCTTAGTGGATTTTGTTAATGGCAGTGTGGTGAAATACTAAATAATACTAGTAATAATAATCCAATCTACAGAACTAAATCACAGGACATGTCAGAATTGGCTGGGAAAGGGGTAGAAGGGGCAGGGCTTGGTGCTGTAATGCAGTATTGAACTGTGCATGCTTGAATCCTCTTCTGTGCAGGAATTTAACCCCTCACCTGTTCTTGGTGCGAGGCTGACTCAGTTTTCCAGCTGGGCAGGATCCAGACTAGCCGGTGAGTGTGTTCAGGGATTAGAGGCCCCAGGTTTGGGTGTGAGTGTTGCACAGGGCTGAGTTCCTTAAGCTGTTGTGCTGTCTGGGGTGGATGTGGTCACATGGAGTGTGAGACTCGGCTGACCTTGAGTCGCTCTGGGTCTAGTTTTGGTACCGAACACCGGAGGTGTGTTTTGGAAGGGCAGCGCGGGCGGTGCCCCGGGGGAGTCTCGAACCCGCGGCCCAGGGTCGGCGCTGCCCGCCGGCCGCCAGGGGGCAGCAACGCCGCGCTCGGCCTCTCCCGCCGTGGCCACGCCCCTTCCGGCCCACATGGGGCGCGCGCACATGGCCGCGGTGAGCGGGAGCGGGGAGTGGGGCTGGACTGCTGGAATTCCACGGGGGATGCTGGGCGGGGGGGGATGCTGGGGCGCTCTGGGGTTCCCCCGTGGGGCTCCCGCTGACCCCATCCCGCGCGGGGTCCTGCTCAGTGCGGGGGGTTTCTCCCTTCCCCGGTGTCCACGCCGGGTCCCCCCGTAGCGGCTCCTTCTTCCCCACGCGGGTATCGTTGCCCGGGTGGGGGGCTGTTCCCGCTGCCCGGTGGGGTTCCCGGCCCTGAGCGCGCTGTCCCGCAGAACATGTCGCCGGACGAGGATGTGCAGCGGCTCCTGATCCAGTTTCGGGATGAGGCAGGAGAGTCCCTGGGCTCGCCCTTCGACGTCCCGGTCACCATCACCCCGGACAAGCTGCAGCTGGTCTGTAACGCCCTCCTGCAGAAGGTGAGACCCCTCCCGAACTGCCCCGGCACTCCCGAGTCCTACCCGGGGCTGCCCCTCGCTACCTCACCTGCCCTTTCTCCCGCAGGATGAGCCGGTGCCTCTGGCCTTCTTCGTCCACGATGCCGAGATTGTGGCGTCGCTGGAGAAGACCCTGGCGGGGCAGAGCGTGGAGACGGAGAAGGTGCTGGACATCATCTACCAGCCGCAGGCGGTGTTCCGGGTGCGGGCGGTGACGCGCTGCACCAGCTCCCTCGAGGGGCACACCGAGGCCGTCATCTCCGTGGCCTTCAGCCCCACCGGAAAGTACGAGGGTCTGCCTGCAGGCAGGGGGCTCGGGGCTCGGCACCAGCTGTTCTTGTCCTCTCCTGGGGACACTGTGCTGAGCCGGGGTCTTCATCCTCTCCCAGGTACCTGGCGAGTGGCTCTGGAGACACCACTGTCCGCTTCTGGGATCTCAGCACAGAGACACCGCAGTTCACGGCCAAAGGTGGGTGTGGGGTGTCCCTCAGGGACCCCCTGCCTGCTTGGGGGACAAGCAGAGCAGAGCCTGGTGCTGCCTGAGCTGTGTAGGCAGAACCATGGCTTGGGAAGGGAGGGGCTCTCTTTGACGAAGTGGAAGAAGAGGGGCTGGCCAGGAGGAGCACAGGGGGTTCCCCCCATCTTGTGCTTCCTTGGAGTGGCTTTCTGCTGGGACACTGAGGATAATCACAGCTCTCCACTCATGCCCACTCGTGCTCTCTCTGCCAGGTCACCGGCACTGGGTGCTCAGCATCGCCTGGTCACCGGATGGCAAGAAACTGGCCTCGGGCTGCAAGAACGGCCAGGTACGTGTTGGCTCCCTCTGTGTGGGGCTGGGGGTCTGTGGGAGTTTGGAGACCCTCTGCAGCCCCATTCTGAACTCAAACCAAACTTGGTGAAGGGCTGTGGGGGATTAGGGGTGACGGCTTGTGTTTCCTGGGCTGTGAGGGATGTATCCAGTTGTTTCGAGCAGGATTGCTGTGCCCCAGAGGAGCTCTGTGTGTGGATGCATTGTGGTATTGGGAGTAGTGTCTCCAGATTCTGTGCCAGGCAGAGTTCTGGCTTTGTCACCTTGTGGACCTCTTGTTGCTGAGTCCTGCTGTCTTGTGGCAGATGCTTTTCCCTCCGTGCAGGAAAGAGTCCAGGCTCTAGATGTGGTCCTTGGCAGGCGGCTCCATCACAAGGGAGGTGTCTGGATTGAGAACGGTTATTGCCCAGCCAAGCCAGGGCTGCTGTTAGTGTGACCCAGACATGCAGCAGCAGCCTGTTTTGCAGCATTCTCACGCAGATACAGCCAAATTCCCTCTTGTAGGAATGTGAAGGGGGCTCTACCCTGGCTGTGGGGAAGAATGGGTGTGCTTAAGGTGCAGAAATGCCTCGGGAAGCGGGAGCACTCAGCTAAACGCGAGTCAGGAACTTGCTGAGCTGTAGAGGGGCAGTGGCATGTAGAGGAGCAGCCATGGAACTGCCAAGCTTGTGATTCCATCCCCAAGACTGGGCCAAGGTGGTTCTGCTGTGGTTTGGTGCTGGTCTGGCTTTAATCGAACCCAGGGAGCTGCTTGTCCTCTATTTCCCTATTTTTCCCAGGTTCTCAAGTAGGAGATGACTAATACCTTGGCTCTTTAGATGAACATTTATGTAGAGAGAGAATCAACAAGAGAAAACCAGCATGTGTCCCACCCACAGAATCTGATAATAAGCAGCACTTAGCACACTGTGGCTTTCGTCGCGCTCTGCAAACACTCACTGAGTCTCTGGCACAGGGTGGCTTTTTGGGGACCTGTATCCGTTTTGAGTTGAGTCAGATAATTTAGTCAGATAATTTGTAGCAGCAGCGCTGTAGGCAGAGAGGAGGGCAGTCAGCTCTCATTCTTTTGGGTGTCAGCTGACGGCTGCAGGGATCTGGAAAGGCACCCAGCCCCCTTCCCTTGCTCCTCCTGCCTCTGCCAGTTTCAGCGGACACCAGGGACACCTTTGCTTCCTAAATGGAGCTCCAGCGTCCCTGGGATTCACATGATGTCTGTGGCCTGACGCGACCCTCTCGCTTCCTCTCTTGGACAGATATTTCTCTGGGACCCAGCCACGGGCAGCCAGATCGGCCGGGTGCTGTCTGGCCATTCCAAATGGATCACATGTCTGTGCTGGGAACCGCTCCACATGTAAGTGAAGGGCCAGCCCAGCCCTTCCCCTTGACTCCTATGGAAAAGAGCAGCCTGACCTGAAGGGCATTGCTCCTGTTTGCCTTTCTCCTGTTATGGGAAAAAGCATGTGCAGGAGAACGGCTCCCAAGGTGGGCTGGGAAAAATGTGTCCAGCTGGGAGAGCCAGGAGCCCCAGCCATGAAGTCACTGCCAGGCTGTGCCTCTTTCCCCCTGTGTAAAAGACATACCTGCCTCTGGAAAGCACTGCTTTTGTGGTGCTGGACAAATATTTGGTGTGCTCCTCCATGGCATGCTGAGCTGGGAGCAGGGAAGCCTGGAGGTCCCCAGGTGCAGGCTCTGCAGAGCATTCCCTCCTGCTCTCCTGATCCTGCTGGCCTCTGTCATCCTGTTTGTTTATCATGAGGGATGATTAACTGTGCAATCCCCTTATCCCTTTGATCAGCTAAAGCTCCCTCTGGGAGAGGTGGGTGGAGGGGGCAGTTATAGCCAATAATCCAAGACGTTATAGAAATAAATAAAAAAAGAAAGAAAAAGGGTCCCTTCAGTGCAGGGCCCTGCAAATTGAATTTGCCAGTAGGAAGCTCCAGCTATTTGCAAACAATTAACTGGATTAGCGAAAAATGATTGTAAAGGAGCAGGGGGAAATGGAGAGGAGAGACATGACCCGGCAGGGCTGCACTTCTCTTTTCTCCAGCCAGTCCCAGTGCAACGGGAGAGGCTGTTCTTCCTCACTGCTCCTCATGGCACCAGGCTGAGTGATGAAGGTGTTGTGCAAAGGACAGAGGGTTGTGGCTCCCCTGTCCTTGATGGGTTGTGCCAACTGCTTCCAGATGTGTTAAATTTGTCCCCCTAAGCCACGTGGATGGACGTTGCTCCTTTCGGTCCTGCCAGCACAGGAGCACTCTGTCCACAGGCTGGAGATAAGCATGGCATAGGCAGGGGAGCATCCAGTGCATTCCCAATGCCACTGGTCTGCACTGCCTTGGTGAGGCTGGTCCCCTGCCCAGGGCTCTCCTCAGCCAGTGCCTGGGGAAGGTACCAGTTTTGGTGTGCCTTCTTAAGCCAGCTGGTTAAAGCTGTGCCCTGTGCAAACAAGGTCATTGCCAAGGGCTCAGGTGCCAGGTTTACCCTGGATTGATGCCAGGGTGCAGCCCAGGAGTTGGTTTGAAGGAAGCATTTGTCTGCCTCTCCCCTGCTTTGTGGGACTTTGGTCTCTGTAAGTCAGTGCTCTGCCCCTGCCTGGCCTCTTGCAGATCTTAAGCCAAAAGACAGTTGTATTTTATTGACTTCTGGACCCTTGAATCCGCTGGGGGTGGTGGGGAAAGAGCTTGGTGGAGGAGCTGTGTGCGCTGCACAAATGGATTTGATCTGCTTTTTCCCCAGAAACCCAGAGTGTCGCTACCTGGCGAGTGCCTCCAAGGACGGCAGCGTCCGCATCTGGGACACACTGATGGGCAGGTGTGACAAAATCCTCACGAGCCACACGCAGTCGGTGACGTGTGTGAAGTGGGGGGGCGATGGCTTGATCTACTCCTCCTCCCAGGACAGGACCATCAAAGTCTGGAGGAGCCAGGATGTGAGTGAGGCAGCAGCCCCGGGGCTGCTGGCAGAGGGGGCTGGGCACAATGTGTGGTAGCTTTGTCTGCTCTTCCTGGCACAGCTTGTGCAGGAAAACAGAGCTGCAGAGCAGGTGCTGTATCTTCTTGAGTATCAAAACCTGTTGCTTGACACAATTTGGAAGGGGTGGTTGTTGTGCAATATTTTCATCTCTAAGGGCATTAACTGGGGCTAAAAGCTGGAAACATCCCGGAGGCAACCTGTGCTGGTGGGTGTCCTCAAGCTCCTGTGGGAAACTGATTCCCGAAGCTCAACTGTGTCGTTTCTTCCCCGCCGCAGTCCTGCCTGCTGCTTGGGCGAGAGGGTTGGGAAAGTTTGGTGTTGGTCTTTGCAGCCCGGTGGGTCTGGTGGGTGCTGGGCAGCCTGGCTGTGTGCTGCCTCCCTCCCTGAGGGGTGGTTGTGTCCCCAGGGGGTGCTGTGCCGCAGCCTGCAGGGCCACGCTCACTGGGTGAACACCATGGCCCTGAGCACCGACTACGTCCTCCGCACCGGGGCCTTCGAACCCGCCGAGGCCACGATCAACCCACAGGACGTCAGCGGCTCCCGTGAGTGCAGCACCCTCTTGCAGGCGGGGGGAGGCAGTGGGGAGGATAAAGGGGAGGCATGATACCATGTTGCCACGAGCCAAAGCAACCTTGGGAGCTGGGAGCAGGTCTTGTGCTCCTGTCGGTCATGCTGACAGCTGTGATCTTCCTCGCCCTTGCCAGGGCTGAGCAGTCTGGGGGATGGGAAGGTCGCTCTGTTTCCAAGGGCTTTTGCTCCCAAATTGCCCTTGGCAAAGAGGAGGTGGGTGAGAAGTCACAAATGCGTCTGCTTGGCCCACGGAGCCAGGATTGGAATTGGCATCTCAGGGTTATAAAGTTTCCTTTCTCCGGATTGCATATCTCTCTTCCCCTTTCCTTTTCCCTTTCTTAGTGGCAGAACTGAAGGACAAGGCTCAGCAAAGGTACAACCAAGTCCGGGTGAGTCCCCTTCGTCCCTGCTGTCATTTCTAACACTGCCACTGGTGGAAGCAGTAAACGTGCACAGTGGGCTCTGGGCCCCAACACTGGTGTGCTTCTGAGCTCTCCACACCTGGCCCATACAAGACTTGGGCTCTTTCATCCCTTTCTCAGGGCCAGGAACCAGAAAGGCTCGTCTCGGGGTCAGATGATTTCACCCTGTTTCTCTGGAGACCAGCAGAAGACAAGAAGCCACTGGAGAGAATGACAGGCCACCAGGCACTGATCAACCAAGTCCTCTTCTCGCCAGACACCCGGATAATAGCCAGTGCTTCCTTTGACAAGTCCATAAAGCTCTGGGATGGTAGGACAGGAAAGTGAGTTGTTTTGTTCTGTTGCAGAGGTGGTGCTAGCATAGGGTCTGCAGGGGTGGGCTCCAGTGTCATTGCCAGCAGCCCTCTGGTGTGTTCAGCATCTCAGCAGCCTGAACTCCTGCAGGGTCATTCTGCTGCCTCTGTCTTTTTCTGCCCTTGGGAAGTCCCTTGTCTGGCTCTTCTTGTGTCAGGGGGTCTTGTGCTTGGCTGTGTGTGTGCAGCGCCACTGCCACCCAGCCACAGCACTGCCTGGCACCTGTGGCACACACAGTCTGCTGCAGGGTGAGTTCTCTGAGCTGCAGTGGGATGGGATGTTCCACTCGGCTGATCTCCTGAAGATGTGTGTGTTGGGCACTGTAGACTGACCCAGTTTAAACAGTTCCCGTGCCAGAGAACAGCTTGTTCTGGATGATGCAAATTCTTGTAGTTACAAGTGGTGCTGTTGGTGTTTGGATGCTCCTGGAATCCAGCTTTTAGCCTTCAGCTGGAGTACTGGTGAGCTCTTGGGGCAGCAGTCCTTCCCTGCAAAGCAACCTTTATGCTCGTGAGCTTGGCATTCCTGTCAGTAATTTTAAAGGTCCCTCTAAATCCAGGCTGCTCGGCCAGAAAAAGGAAGAACACATCTGTGCAGTAAGGCTGTAGCGTTGCCTGCTGGGTAAGAGTTTCTTGGCAGATGAGGTGAGATGAAGAGTCATCCTCCAGAAGGTTCTGGGAGGGTTTTTAGATGGACTGAACAACCTGTGGACTCTGTCTCGCAGTTGACTGGCTGGGGTGTGCTGAGCGTCTTGTGACTGGGCTGGTTTGCTCACGGGTGGAGAAGAAACAGGAAGACCAGGGCAGGTTTGGAACAAGCCGTGCTGCTCTAACAGCTTGTGCTCTGCCCCAGGTACCTGACATCGCTGCGGGGGCACGTCTCGGCCGTGTACCAGATCGCCTGGTCGGCCGACAGCCGCTTGCTGGTGAGCGGCAGCAGCGACAGCACCCTCAAGGTATGGGATGCCAAGACAAAGAAACTGGCCATCGATCTTCCTGGCCATGCAGATGAGGTGAGCTGTTTGGTTGAGGTGAGGTGCTGGTGTTTGAGAGAGGCAGGAGTGACTCCTCCTCCCAGCAGAACTAACTGTCTTTTCCGTAACATCAGGTGTATGCAACGGATTGGAGCCCGGACGGACAGAGGGTGGCGAGTGGAGGGAAGGATAAGTGTTTGAGGATGTAAGTAACCTGTTGTCTGTCCATAGAGGATGTTGCAGCTACTCCGTGTGTCCCTCAGAACCACAGGCTCCTTGCAGAGACCTGCATGGTTAGGGCATGATCTGTCCTTGCAGAGAGCACAGCGCTGGGTCACACTCTGCCTTGGAGACCTGACCTCCCTCGGGGCAGGATCTGCTGCTGTCCCCTGGCAGCTGACTAGAAAGCAGAGTCCCTGCAGCTGAGCAGTCTGGGTGAAATTTGACTCAGATGTTTTGGCTCCTGGAGAGGGGAAAGAACATTTGTACCAGTTGGTCAGACCTTCATTTCTCACCTTGCTCCCTCTCCCAGTTATGCAGACGGACAGATTCCTGTGAGCTGGCTGCCATTTGACCATGGCTGGTGAACCCAGTCCCTGGGCCCTGCTGTGCTGCTCCCATATGGTGCCTGTGGGCAGCACTGGTGCCCAACCACAGGGACAAAGCAGCTCTTTCCATTTGCAGATGGCGTCGATAGGAAGAGAGACACGAAGCTGCTGGTCCTGTCCTCGGCACAACGTGCCTGGAAGATCTCCAAGGGGAAGGATGACGGAGGCCGACCCGAGCACGACTCCCTGTTCCTGTTGGCTACTCTCCCTCTTGGACTCTTTCCTTATATTTATTTAAGGAAATTTTAATTCTAGTTCTTATTAAGAGCTGTGCTTTGCAGGATGATTTCCTCTGAACATTACAGGAGGGATATCTCATCTGCCTGCATCTCAACTGGCTTTTTATTGGAATTTCAGCCTCACAGAAGCCCTCTGCCTTGAAAGGGGCAAGTGAAGGGCAGGGATGGCTCTTGCCCTTTCTTGGCTGTGTGAAGAATCCTACGGAGAAGAGGGGTTTAGTGGGAACTGAAAGGGTTGTCCCTGTGTGACCTTCAGAGAGAGAGAAATGGGAAAATTCAGGACATCAATTACATTGCAGAATTGTGCTCAGCTGCGTGTCTGGGACAAAGATCTGCTGTGAATAAGGTCTTGGGGCTTCTCCTTATTCCAGTAAGGTTTTGCCTTTCCACTCAGCCCACTTCCCTGTGGGCTGTGCTGAGCATTATCTGTGGATTCTCTGCGTCCACAAAGGATAACTCCTTCACTTGTCTGTTCAGGGTCCAACGTGCATGGACTTCAAATGACTGCTGGAGCTGTGCAGAGTTCTCAACAGCTCTTGGAAATGGGGAAATGAGACACTTGTGCCTCTGAACAGGGGAGGAAGCATCCATTTCCCATCCACCGCTGGCTCGGGGGGAAGGAAGGATAGGGTGGGGAAGGGGAAGAATGGAGCTGGCATTTGGGGTGGTGTTTGTCCCTTGCCCTGGATATGTGCTGACAGCAGGACTGGGACTGTCACAGTAAATAGCAAAACTTCCATTGCACAGGGTTGGCTCCTTCTGGAATTTCTTAAGTGCATTTACTTGCCCAGTGGGTGAGAGGGATTCACACTGTCAGTTGTGTATTTCTAAACTTGCTTATGAGCCTTTTTATAAGTCAGTTCAGGCTTCCAGCCATCATGAGACGAATAAACCTGGATTTACTGTTTATTTCCAGGATGCTTATGAAACAGTGAAAATCAAGATGTGATTACTAAGGAGCAGACAATTATATTGTCAAATTTAGTTGCAGCAGGTTAATATGAAGGTCAAAACATTCTCCATAGCCCTCATCCTGCAGTTACTACTCAGTGGTTACAACAACTCAGAGTGGGAGTTTGGGTCTCAGATGCTTCCCAGCTGCAGAAGATGCATTTTAGGACTTTTTTCCTGCTGGCAGGATTGCTTTGGAGAATTAAGAGGGGATGGTGCAGTAATGGCCATTTGCTTGTTTGCAAGTGTTCAGGGGAGAAAAAGACTGGAACAAAGGGTTAAATCTTTGATATGGCTGAGAAGACAATTTGTGGTTCCTGTTGTTAGTTTCTCTTTTTGCCAGCAAAGTCAGCAGGCTCTGTCTTTGTGGGATCTTTTGGAAGACCTCAGTATCCCCTAGCTGCTCTTTCATTAATGTGCTTCTTCCAGCTGGTTCTTGCTGACAGTGAAGGCCATGTTGCATCCAATCTGCATAAACAAAACCTTTCCTAACGCACTGAGGTGAATGTCGTGGGACAGGGTGATTTAAAACTGTAGCTGATAATTCTGCCTCCCCAGACTGCTGTGCCCTTGGGAAGGAGAGGAGCAGGTCTCTGGTAGTGGCCAGGAAGTGTGCCTGTTTTGAAAGTTTTTTGGGATGCTTGTGCTAAAGAAAACATTCCACCCTTGGGAATTCAGCTCTGTGTCCCCAGGTCTGACTTGCTGAAAGCAGCAGCTCCTGGTGTGGCTCTTTGCAGGGGAACAAGCATCGTTCTCTGCTTCCTTCCCTGAAGTGCTGCACGGGGTCACTGTGCCCCGGCAGTGCTGGCTGTGTTTTGTGTTGGAAGCAGGGATGTATTGGAGCTGAGGGAGGCAGTCCTGCCTGTGGGAGCTGGCTTGGCTGTGCATGTGTGTAGGTGTACCTAAAATAAATCAGTGTACCTTGTCCCCTGATTTCCAAACCAAAGCAATTGCTGTGCCCTCTGGCCGTGCTCCTGCCATCCCTTCAGACTCTGCTTCTGTGACATTTGGCACCAAGCAGAGCCTGATTAAAACCCACCTTCCTAATGCTGGAGCAGAAAGGTTTTCCAAAGGGGAGACCTCTTGAAGAAAGAGGGCCTTGCAACTAAGTTTACACCAAAATAAGCTCTCTTGGCCTTAATCTTTCTCTGATCTGATAGCAGGTAGATTTTTGAACCACGCTCAGTGATGGGTTTGCATGTAAACCAAATTGTATTTTCTTATCCAAGCATCTGCTACTATTTTTATCATTCATACAGCACCAGCCTTCATACATGCTAAGTGCTGGCCCCGCTCCAGCTGTATTCCTGAGCAATTCCGTAACACTCCTCCCAGTTTCATTTGAATGCGGCACTTCCCGGGCCTGGCTCTGCAGTCTCCCGCCTGGAGAGCTGCTGCCCTTCCCTTCGGAGCTGGCTCCTTCTTGGCAGGAGGTGCAGTGGGCGCGTGACCTCCCTCGCTCCGCCGGCGCTGGGGGTGGGAGCTTTAATTAGCCGATTTTGGGAGTTGCAGATGCAAATTAGGGCTGATGGTTGTTATTAACGGGGAAGACGTTACTTTTCGTTAAAAGGACAAATCTAGAAGGTAAGGCTGGAGCTTTCTGATTGCTCTTCTGGGAACGGCAGCACTAACCTCTGCTGAAACAGCTGAGCTTTTCCAGTGCTGTGTGAAAGGAATCTCAGGATCTGCTCCTGTGTTTCAGTCCAAGTTCCTCCTGAGTTACTTGTTAAACATCCCACACAGGTTTTCCTACCACAAGGGCGTTATTTTTCACTGGTAATACAAGAATAATTTTAAGCATATCCAGAAACTGTCCCACAGAGCCCTCTGACACTTTCCTCTTTAAAAGCTGTGATGCCACCATTAATTTTGTTATAAGTCCCCAATGGGAGGACAGTGATGTTAAGGACTGGGAAGCGTGCCAGTCCTCTGAGAAAGGTTTACCTGTCTAATAAATTCCTGAGTATGATGGAGGGAAGGAAGGGATATGATAAGAACACCTAGGGTGAAGTAGATCATTTGGGATAGCGTTGAGGCGAGCAGTATGGTGCCAAACTCCCGCCCTTTGGAGGCTGATTTAGATAAGTGAGGCCTTAGAATCCTTATGAAAACTGTTCTTGGGGCTGTGTTTCCTGCTTATCCATGCAGGAGGGCTGGCAAGTGGTGTGTGTGTTGTGCTTCCTGGGTTCTGGGTCCTTGGAGCCACACGTTGCTTTTCTGCTTGACTCAGATGATCTCTTGAACATTTTCCCGGATCTGTAATTTAATTTCCATGTGCATGTTTATAGCCTGAGGAGAGAGACAAGAAAAATCTTTCAATGAATAGGAAGAAAATGATCTTCATTCATTGTCTGCACGAAAAGGAGCTTCTCTCAGTTTTTTTTGGGTCAACCCAGGCACTGTTCAGTGTTTCTACCTCAAGGCTACATTTTGGCGGTATGGCAGAAAATGGCTTGCTGTGAAGACCATTAGTGCTTTTGAGGATGAAAGGTGTTATGGAAACTCAGGACAGTGACTCAGTCTGTGTTTTGGGGAGCTGCTACCAGATGAAAATGTACTTCTCTGCGCTCAGGCAAGCAACCTGGAAGGTGCTAATTTCTTCCTTGTGATCAAGAGCCCTGTCTCACACCTGAGGGACCAATTGGCTGATCCGACGTAGCTGGGAAGGAGCCACAAAGCCATGTCTAGTGCTGCTCTTCTGTTTCCTCCACTCTGACTCTATAAATCAGTGGTCCTCACCAAGCTATGGGTTGCCAGTGGTCTCTGTCAGGGGGCTGTGGCTCTTGCAGAGTGTGCTATTAAAAATGAACAAACTCAGGGCACGGTATCTGTGCTTTTGAGGGTTGGTTACCCGTGGTAGTGGTGCTTTTGGAGCACGCTGGGTGTTTTATTGTCCTGCCACGTGGCTGTCAGAGCGGTGCATCCCCCCCCCGGGGGCTGCAGGGCTGCTGCCTGCCAGCACTTCATGCCAGATATCCATGTGGATTCCTTGAGGGAGGGAGGGAGGAGCAGCAGGAGCCCCATGGGGTTATCCTGCATCGCTGTCCCAGTGTCTCCAGTATCAAGGCTCCCTTGGGGAAGGGCAGGTGAATTCAGTCTGTTCTGCCTCTGACCCCTTTCGGCAGCAAAAGCAAGTGAAGGTGCTGTTTGTAAATAGGTTTATTGTAGTCTGGGTGCTGGAGATACTGACATCCCAAAACTCTCCTGGACACCAATCAAGGCCCTAGCTCGAAGGAGTGCCCCGCATGCAAATCCCTCAGCCTCCTGAGCGCCGTTCCAGAGCTCAGCCTTCAGATCCCGCTCGGATCCCAGTGCAGCGTGTTTAGTTATTCCGGTCAAACCTCCCTGCCGCTCCTGGCTGTTTGTCCTTGCTGTGCTGAAACAAACCTGCTCGAGGGCTCCAGCTCCATTAGGAGGACAAAAGGACATCAGGCAGCGCTGCTGCCGAAGGGAGATGTGTCTGGGTTTGGAAGTGAGATGCAGAATGGGTGGCTTAGGAATTACTGTTGTGGCATTCTCTGTTCAAAAGGCATCTTCTGAATGAATTATTAGTTTTTTTTAGCTTCCCGAAAATGTAGCTGGTGACATTGACTTTGGGGTGAGGATGCATGCTGATGCTGAGAGGATTAATACTGAATGTGAGACTCTGTGGATGGCAATAAACAACCAGTTCTCGGGGAAATTATTTTCTGAATCAGAATATTTAACACATGGAGGCTTGTGGGCTTTTTCCTGGTTTAAAGGGGCACTGTGAAGCGTACTAGAAAGTGTCTGTTACTACCAACACCTTAATTTATTATTAACTTGGAATATTTTTACATCTCATTTATTCCTTACACGGGGGTGTTCTGAGCTGTTGAAATTATTGGTCAGCTTTGCTTTCTCAGCGTTGCTTGTTGGGGTAATGCCACGGATGGATTTTGGATGGGAGCTCAAAACTTCAGCAAATAAAGGAGGGGGATTCAGTCTGGAGAGGTTTTAAAGCCCTTCTGTTCTCTTTGGCACAAAACAGATTTCTTAGTATTCCTCTGATGTTATGATTTAGACATATGATGTCTAAAGCTTAAAGTGTCCTTCATAAGGCTCTCTATCTTCCCTTAAAAATCTCTTGCTGAATGTTGTTTTAATCTAAGTGCGTTTTCTTTGGAGAAGTCTTTAGCTGCAGAGGTTCTGACATGGCACATTGGCCCCAGTAGTGCCTGGTTTGAGTGCTAGAAAGTGAGGGGAGATAAGTGAAGAATGGGGAGAGGCCCAACTGCGTAAATCCTCGCTCAGTCTCTATTTTGATCTGGTGACACTGAAAGCAGAGCCTGTGTCACGTGGGGAAGGCACAGCACAGCCATGTGGGGTCAGAGCTCTGCCCCCGTGCCCCCAGTGCACCCCCTGCATCGA